ATTTTTATGCTTTCAGGTCGCTCATATGATCACATTGAACGAGACAACAACAAGCATCAACGGTGTGCATACCTTCGAGCTACTTCTGTAGGTATAAATATCAAACTCTTAATCCAGAAAAAGGGATCGAACTTCGAATGCTACAATAATCCACTTGCTAACTTAACAATCAAATGAGTCGAGTTAGAAATTCTTCCTCTCAACTTCCGTAAGGGCACACCGGAGACGTGACCAATCAAATCTCATATCGGATCGACCATGAACACAAAGTGGAACCTCGATATCATACTTTCAACCAATCTCACCTCCCTTTCTGTCAATGATCGATGGATGATCTTGCACATTCAATCCAAACCAAGATGTGCCATCTCCTCGGTCACGAAATAAAGTTATATAATATCTACAAAGTCAAATATAAATACGTGATTCAAGAGAAAAAAATATATAAAGGGTCAGACTAATTGAGCTTTTATACTATTATTATCATCATAATCATTATATTATTTTTCTCTATTATAAATACAAATAGAAAAATAAACATTCAAATTGGTTTAAAACACAAATTGATGTGCTAAGAGTATTTCCATAAAAAAAAATCAAAAATATTTTAACTGCTTAAAAACCATCCTTATTTAAGAGTGATACAATAATTAAAATCACAATTTGACCTAAATTATATTAAATAATTGTTTTTAAAATTACATTAAATCTTTCGATGAGATCACATCTAAGAACAACAATTATGGGCCTCTGCATTCACTTCCTAAAACTCAATTATTAGTTTTATCGATCATATCCATGTATTTTCACTATAATTCTAGAATTTATTTGTAATCCATGACTATTTGACCTGCTTAAATCACATTAAATCATTAGTTAATCGAATACAAAAACAATTACATGGGGTGAATTCGATGAAGAATCCCAAAACTAATCCAATCAACGAAACTATGCTTTTCTCTCTCTCTCTCTCTTTGTTTTTTTTGGGTTGAATCGTGATGGAACAGTCGTTCAAACTAAAGTTGTCGCTCTATGTGGTCAACAGGAAAGCGGAAAGAAAACTCAGAAGTAATTTTAGGCGAAGTAGCTTGTCACCTTTCCTCCCTCGGGAGAGGAAACTTCTTTGGAAGTGCCTTGATGTCAAACTACCAAATATTAGCCTGCAAATTGCATTTGGTATTGAAGTCAATCAATGGTTAAAATCTAATGTAAGAGACGAGAAGAGAGAGAGAGAGAGAGAGGAAACCTCATTCCCTGGACGCATCATCCACCATGCTTCTTGGAATATCGAGGAGCCTCCTCCACCAACTTGCTTTGCCATGCCAGCATTGCGATGGACGGAGAAGAAGAAATGTCCTTAGTCAATGGTGTCAGTCAAAGATCCCTGAGAAGAAGATACCGCCATATACTATTCTTGAGGAGCATTACAATATACTTGCTGAGTCATACTGTTCCCATCACGATGTTTGATTTCCTACTCACCGTTGGATCTCGGTATTGGGAATGATGCCAAGATTAAACGTATTTTTTTGTGGCATCACAATTTCTCTTTGGTCTTTTGGGAGGTTGATAATATCTTCCCCAAACAAGACGTTAAGAGAATGATGTATTTTTGTTCGAAATCATGAAAATAATCAATATTTAAGATCATTCAACAACTCAATGCTTCATCAATAGCATTCATCGAGCATTGCTTATGAAATACCATGAGCTTTCCATGTCAGCGACATGTAGGAAAAGTCCATAGCGCTCCCAATGAGCTGAAAACAGAAGATTTCTTGCAATTTTCCGTGTAATCTCCTCCGGATCCTTTCCCTCGCCCAGCTGTCACAAGACTAACCCCCGTGGAAACTTTCCATGCAACGTCTGCTGCAGTGGATCCCACGTAGAATTTTACGTGTAATTTCCTGGTAGAAACGATACGTAAAACTTCACATGCAATTTCCTCGTAATCTCCGCTACTGTGCAAACTACAGCCGCTAGATAATGGACAGGTGGCCCCTTCGCCGTGTTTGATCGTTGCCACGTCGATGTGCATGAAAGCTTGTGGTGTTTTGTTGGATCTAATCTCCAAGCTATAAATCTTTTTTGATTGGAGGTTGAGTCGAGCAATGGTGAGAGCTTCAACATTCGGATCCTCAATCTTCTCGTGAGTCGAGCTTTATGGGCTGCTCCTCCACCAAGCTCCGCAGCTCCGCCGCCGCCGACCTCCACGCCCTCGAGCTGAAGAAGGTGATTCAGAGGAATCCGGAGCTCGCAGCGTTCGCCAAGGAGTACCCAGAATCCATTCTACCCGCCATCAAGAGCGGCCTGGACGACCTCGATCGATGCCTCGGCAAAGTCCTCTCGGGAGTCAGTATCATCCACGCCGCGATCGACCACTATGAGGAGGAGGAGAAGAGGAAGCATCAGCAGCACCGCCGGAACAAAAAGAAAAAGAAGGCCGACAGGAAGGAGAAGCATGCCTACTCCAAAACCGTCGCCAAGCTGCAGGAGCTCGAGTGCGCCGGCCACCCGTTCGCCGGACTGAACGTCAAGGAGCCGCAGCACGCGCTCAGCAAACTCAGGGAGACGATGGACCGGCTTCGGGACAGGAAGAAGGAGATCAAAGCGGCGCTGCGCTCCACCAAGCGGTGGCGGAAGTTCAGGGAAGTCGTCTTCACCGCCGCCTTCATCGGGTTGCTCGTCTGCTCTGTCGTGCTGGCGGCCACGGTGGCGGCGCCCGTGGCCATCACCGCCGGGACCGCCGGTGCGACGGCGATAAAGGCGGTGGAGCCGTGGTTCAACTCCTTGTGGGACGGGGGGGAGACGGCCCTGAGGGACGAGAAGGAGGTGGTGAAGATGATGCTCGACGAGGAGCTCTCAGTGCACGAGCTCGACAGCATTCGATCCCTTGTGGTGAAGCTGTGGACCGACGTCGAAACGCTGATGAAGAAGGTGGAGTTCGTACTGCAGCAGGAGGACGAGGAGGCCATGGAGGTAGGGATGACGGAGCTGAAGAAAAAGATGGAGGCTACCGACGTGAAAGGCTGCATCAAGTTCTTGAAGGAGAAGGTGGATGCATGCAAAAAGGAGATCCAACCTTCAAAATCCAAGTTCCTAAAGATAACCAGGGATTAGTGATGTTGATCTCTTCCTTCTCTTCGTGTGCGTGAATCTTATACGTTCTTAGACTTTCCTGTTCATGTACATAGTGATGTTTCAGCCTCTTATCGACCGTATGTCTTAAGCATGAATATAATTCCCATGTACGGTCAAACAGAAGTGGTCTACGGTCAATCGGGTTTGCTTTTTCAACGAGTTTAATGTATCGTATTTCCTCAGAAGAGTTATCCTCGTACACTTCGAACCTATACATATGTTTTCTCAAAGGAATATATATATATATATATATATATATATATATATATATGTATATATATATATATATATGTATATATATATATATATATGTATATATATATATATATATGTATATATATATATATATATGTATATATATATATATATGTATATATATATATATATA